CCCTGTTTACACTGTACCGGATTCGCTGGTCACGACATCTTCTTTTGCCGTTACGGAGCAATGGTTAGTAGCAAATGCTTATTAGTTTGACAGAATTGGCATGTTTATTTGGGTCTCTGAGATTAAAAAACTTCACAGCCTTTCGATACCTACAAAATTTGACCCACTCCGATAGCAATCCGGTACAGTGTAAACGGAGCCATAGAATAGGCCACGCCAGGGCCACGCAGATACCGAACGCGCACGGAAGAGCACGAAAACAAGACTCGAATCTCACGATTTACATCGAACGAGAAAGGCCTGATCGCAGGTTACCCTAACCTTCCTCCCTCCTTCACTTTTGAGTTTTGTCATTTTGTTATTGTAGAATAATTAATCAGCATTAATTTTTAATTGCATTTCATATTTTTGTTGTTTTCGTAAAATTGCGTAGATCTTTTGCACTTCTAGCTGTATAAAAGTGAGCAAATATACAATATAAAACTATATATAATGGGAGCATCCTCGAGTAAAGATACTGAATTGGAAAACGCCTTGTCGAAATTTGATGAAGGCCAGGCAGAGAAATTAGAGTCAGTATTCGACAGTTTGTCAACTGACAATATACTGGATAAGAGCAAACTTGAGGTAGGCAATTGCTCTGTTGTTTGTGGGTTGGTATTTTACTGATTAATAATAGAAAACTTTATTGCCATTACTCCCCCCCCCCCCCATTAGGAACAACCGAACAAGGGTTTCCCCTTACCCCAAATAGTTGACAAATTATATTATAGTGCCAGAGGCTTACTTCTGGAGAAATCAGTTTAACCAGGCCAACTTGTGGAGTGGGGGGAGCAAGTAGAAGTGTTCCCTTGTATACTTCCATGGAAGGGGGTAACCTCGTACCCACAGCTTCTGCAACACTTCTGTACCGGACTGGAAAGTTTGGAAATTGCGTGCCGGAGATTTTGAAAATTTAATAGTAAATATATAGGAAGCATCAAAAGTGCACAGGGGATTTCTCCCCAGCGCAATACAAACTTTCCACACTGGCTTCTGTATTTGCAATATTGGGGATGGGCCATATATTCCAAGAGGTCTTATATTTGAGGTGATACTACAGTACTTAACATTTTCAAAAAATTTTTCAACACCAATAGAAGCACTTATCGCCATATTTTCCTGGTAATTTCATCAACCAAATATACAACGCTTTCAACGTCCAAGCAAAAGATGCGTCTAACATCAAAGTAGAGAAGAGAGACTTTTTGGTTAGCATTTGCAAAGTACTAAAAGGTTATTTACGTGAAAAAGCTGCGATACTGCATGATTTATCAACAACAAACATTTATGAATCGAATTTCAATTTATTATTGGAACTATGTAAGACTTTGATTGAAGCTTACATAAAAGCAGTTGAGAAGTCAGGTTTGGGGTCTTCACACATGCAAACAGGTACAACTAACGAAGCAAATACGAGCCTAGCCATGCAGTTAACGAGCAGCATTCCTGAAGAAAAACATGGAAATTTGAGTGTCGATGATGTTGAAACATGGATGCAAAAGGAAGTTCTAGTGACACGACTATTTGAAGATGTTTTTAAAGCTTGTTTTTTGGGAGCTGATACGATCCTGGACACACACAAACATGGATTGAAAGAAGGATGTGAACCGACTGTTGAACATATGCCAAGAAGGTAATGGTATATATTGGATATATTAGGATTAGTGTTAGGATTAAGGTTAGGATTGTGATCAAGGTTAGGATTAGGAGTTAGGATTAGATTAGTGTTAGGACTAGAGAGTAGTCTTAGGGTTGGTGTTAGGGTTTAGAGGTATTAGCTGGTATAGGTAAGTTGCTTAGGATTAGTGGGTAATTAGATTAGGATTAAGATTGTCAGGGTTAGAAATGGTTTAGAAATGGAATTAAAAGTGAGAAATAAAAAATCTCTCCTTATCCCAACTTTTTCTCTAGAACAGACATCCTTCTCCCGTGCAAGCTAGATTTCCAGGGACACAACATCAAGACTATCATAGATATTCCTGCAATGCTCATGTTGAATCATGCTGTGCCACTAGAATGTCGGCATATTTGGCGGCTGTTGTTTGCAACATCATGCCATGGCAAGAGTTTTACAACATTCTTGCATCGTATAGTGTATCAAGGTCCTACCATATTGTTGGTTAAGGATAGAGAGGGTGCTGCGTTTGGTGGTTTTGCTTCTACCAGTTGGAGAGTGAAGTCTTCATTTGTGGGTAATGTAACTAATGTTTAGATTTTAATCATTTGATAGAGTAAAATAACAAATGGGTGAACTGTGTTTAAGACAAGTCTGGTTTGACCTATTATTGCCCAACACTGTATCTCTTGGCAAATAAAATCCCCAGGCGTTATAGAGGGAGTTACCCTGGGTTCCAGAGCCTTCAGAAAGTCCTGTCCTGTCTCAAGACCTTTAAAAACCTGAAAACCTCTGGCACATTGCACCTTAATTAGTTAATATTGCACTTAAATTAATTAACATTGCACCATAATTAGTTAACATTGCACCATAATTAGTTAACATTGCATCTTAATTAGTTAACATTGCACCTTAATTAGTTAACATTGCACCCTCACCCCCCCCCCCCCCAAGAAATTAATTAGGATTCATTGCAACTTAGTGGGGAATCTTATTTAACACTAAGACACTAAAGAGCATGTTTTCTGTTCACTAGGTAATCATGATTGTTTTGTGTTTACATTAAAACCATCCGTAGTAGTTTATCATCCAACTGGTATGAATGATCATTATATGTATCTAAATGTTGGCATGAAAACAATTCCTAATGGCCTGGTAAGTATTGATAAAATTGCACTGCACTCTTAACATCAATTGACATACTGGATGGTTGACATCTCGAATAATACAGTACGATGAGTCAAGACTGATGATAATTTATCCTAGGGTATGGGAGGTCAGTTTGAATATTTTGGCTTATGGTTGGACTCGGAGTTTGGTCCAGGTCACAGTAAGGCGCATCCTAAAAGCACGACATATGGTAATCCACAGTTATCTGCTTCAGAAGAATTTCAGATTGAAGAAATTGAAGTGTGGGGTGTAGGAGTCGCACCTGAACAGGAGGTAGGATGAAACGTAAAAAAACCTGCATTTCCGCCTTTCCCACGCCTCGCCTCCCTAGTTTTTCGCTGCCTGCGCCTCAAACACAACCCTTAAGGTCCAGACAGACCGGAAGCGATTCGACAACGCGACGCAATTTTTCGATTTTCACTGACCGATAACTTTGATCCTAGTTTAAATTTTCCAAATATTTAGAAGCGCTATCACATTTTAAGTTATTTGGTCTACATATCTTTTAAAATTTGCACTCATTGGCTGTTTTATTAACTTTCAAAAACTAAAAAATCGCGTCGCGTTGTCGAATCGCGTCCGGTGTGTCTGAACCTTTAAAACCACTAGCTACGCAGGCTACTGAAACTGCTCTTTAGTAGCGCGGTAACCCTACGGTTCGGCTGCGTTTCCATGTGCGGTTAGGTTAGGTTACTCGATCCGTGCCGGTAAACTATACTCGTTGTCATTATCATCATTTTATGTGTCCTTAGGAGCAAGAACGAAGTGTTTTGGACAGAGAAATAGACGCTCAAGCCATCTTGGATTTAATTGGCAAAGAAAGAAAGAGTGATGGACTACGTGAACCAGAAGATTCAGACTGATTTCCGAGAAATTTTAAAGTAACGTCTGTATCATTTCTGATAAACCATGCATCTTAAAGTATGTTGGTACTTTGGGTAGAAAATCAAATGTTAGACTAAACATGGGAGTATAGATGGGATATCACACTATTTTTGGTAGGAAATAAAAAGACCGTGGAATAAATTTCTTGTGGGATTATACAGCGATATGTGATTGATTTGACCACCACATTTATCCATTTTATCACATGGGATTTTTAATTAAAATTTACATTTTGTGGATAGCTAATGTCATTAAAATGAATTAATATTTGTTGGGATACTGTGTCTTCTTTGTCTATGATTCTAGTCCATTTGCCTTCTAGTACAGCGAAGGCTAACCTACAGGCTGCTCCATTTATTGTAAGTTCGGAGTACTCCAGATTTTCGGAACACTAACAGGATCGAACCAAACATGGAAATATGACGGTTCTGTTGCCCCTACTCAAAACTTAGCAGTCAAAAAAGTCAGGTGACCGTTTTCGGTTCGTTTCTATTAGTGTTCCGAAAATCCGGTGTACTCTGAACAGTAAATGGAGCAGCCGACTACAAAAGATTGTGGTTTCCATTCGTGTGGACTGGTCTTGATGTCAATGATTATACCTGCCTCGTCAACACAATCCACCTTCAAAATCATCATCCTCGTCACCAGGCCCCTCCTCTGTAACATTCTCCTTACTTTCAGACTCCCCATTGTTCTCAACTCCCACATAACTCGGAGAGTGTTCGTCACTTGTCGTACCAACTTCGTCATGTGTCGTACTAACCTCGTCATGTGTCGTACTAACATCGTCATATGTCGTACCAACTTCGTCATGTGTCGTAGGAACTTCGTTTGGTTTTTCATTTAATGTTTCCGAACCCTGCGCTGTCTCTAACCCCCCTGCATTTTCATCACTACCCAAAGGATTCTCCTCATCTTCATCAAATTCAAGTCTTTGCCTGGGGGGTGGTTCACTAGTTTTATGTTTCTTATCACCAGCCGCTTTTGTTTCATCAACGTTTAACCTAGCGATATCGCTCGACAGAAGTCTGAGTTCTGTGTGTTGTTCACTGATGTTAAATTCATCGGATGGTTTCAAATCTCTTGCCAACTTACTGAGCTGAAATAATACTGGACTGCTTCAATATCAGGGTTATTTGAGAGCGCCATTGTGCATCAGCAAAAATACCTATTTGCACGTTAGATCATGCAGTATCAAAATTATCTGGCAACCGTGAGCGGCAAAACCAACAAAATGCATAAAATGCATTATGTAGGTGCAGTTTGGTGAGAGGTATCCTCACTGTGATTGTGTCGACTGGTGTACCACCATGTTACCATGCAAGCATTTTGTAGCAGTCATGCAGGACATCAAGGACTGGAGCTGGTCAAATTTTGCAAGACTAAAGCCCTGGGCAAACTAGGAAACATTGTTGTGGAAACATTTGTGATTCTCGATGTTTCCTCAAATGTTTCCCTGTTTGCCCACCCGTGGAAACATTCCCGATAAGCAAAAATGTTTCCTAGCGAATTCAGAAACATTTGATGTACTTCCCTATGTTTCTCACTAATGTTTCCTAGTGTTTGTCCACTCTTGGAAACATGGCGAAACATTGGTAGGAAACAATGTTTCCGCAACAATGTTTCCTAGTTTGCCCAGGCTTAACTGTGGTTATACCGTATGCTGTTTATTCGTTGTACATAACACAAATAGTGCTGGCTTGCGTTGCGTGCTACTGGGTTCGAGGTTCAACGTTACGCAGATAACAAGAGCATAATATAAAAGGCTGTCACATACCTCGTTGTCGAGATTTCGAAATAACGGTTTCGTTACAATGGTTTTGATTTGATCTGCGTCACTTTGATCGTAAGCTTGAAGTAGTTCTTCAATGGCTTCAGCCTCGTCTGAGGTCCCAAATCCTCCTACCCTATGATCGGCAGATCATGTTTTTAGTGATACTAGATGTATCCTGCAATATGTAGCTGAGAAGAGTGCTTTCAATCAGAGTCTACCAAACACAGCAAGTTTAGTTTTCTTCTCTGGTAACACTTGTTGTGTACTCGCAGTTTAGTGGCAGTTCTGACCAGGGGTGCTGACTGTACTGTTGCTGAGCTATGTTGTAGGCTAGTTGCGGGAATTATCAGCCCTTGCTACACCCTGCAGTCAAACGAGGATGAGATTTGACGAGATTGAGTTCTTATTTGTGTTTGACGCCGACCAGGGCCTTGAATTTTATCGCAGCAGTTGCCGTAGAGGAAGAACAAAATGCCGCGGATCATTGCAGCAACGACGGCAATTTTTTGCCGTATAGTGTAATTTTTATACTATTCACTGTGCATTACTACTTTGATACTTGAATTCAGATGTTGATCATATCATGCGTAAATTATTATTTTAGTCTCGTTTCTTCGAGAAAGAAAAAAAAAACACTAAAGAAATACGTAAACATGTCTCTAGCTTGTCAACAATCCAAAGTATAACAATAAAATTAAAGTTTTATAACACTAATTTGAAAAAATGCCGTGGAAAATGCCAAAATTGCCGTAGACAGCTGTTATGTTCTACGGCAATTTTTAACGCCATTGCCGTCGATTGATTTCAGGGAAATTCGAGGCCTGACGCCAGCTCCCATTAACTCTCATTGACTTTGAACTGGTTCAAATTTTAATGAAAATTGGTGGAGATTTTACTCATTTGAGCAGTAATATCCAGTCAACTCTCATCAACTCTTGCTTGACCAGCACATGAGAAAACTCTCATGCAAACTGTCTTAACTCTCATCCCTGTTTGAGCAGAGCCAGCAAGTGATTCTCAACTTACTCAAAAGCATCTTTAAAACACTTGTCTGCAGCAACGTAATCACTTTGAGCAAGATGCACAACTGTAAGTCCAAGAATGACCTAGATAAGAACAAGGTTTAATAATGTTTACAGTATCATTTCGTACACAGCTTAAAACCCAGTAATTCTGTATGTATAACATACCTTATATTGCATAGCTGTGTTCCCAATCCTTGCATACAGTTCCAGTTGTTTGAGCAGAGATTTCACAACATCTTCAAATCTATAGAATAACAGAGGATAAAGACCATTGATTCATGAAAACATTCTTCCTTATACAATATGTATCAATGTATTAACATTTCTTACTTCTGTAGTTTTATAAAAAGTTGTGTGACTTTGGCATAAGGTTCTGCAGCTTCCCGGAGTTTATCATCCATCTAAATCATATTTCATTGCATATTTTTGTAAAAATCCTTGTAAGACTTAGGTAATTTTCAAATAAAAAAAGGTTCTTGATCCTTAAATACCCAACCTCACACCCAGGACATCTGCACTTGGAGTCACAAAAACAAACACCCTGGGTACAAGATTGTTAACCCATTGAGTGGCAGCACTCTCCCCTTGACTAGTAAAGTAATCTGGCATTAGACAGAGTAAAATACTCAAGTTGGGTGCATTGCCACTTAAAGGGTTAACAGAATGTGTGAGCACTTATTGCAAAGGATTAAATACTGTACATGTACCTCTCTTAATTCTCCAGCTGATTGGTAAAGCTCTATTGCTTTCTTAGTATTTGTTCCCTCGCACATTCTGAATAAATAGAAAGTAGATAATTATACAGAGTAATAAGTAAACACAGATTTGTGAGTTGATGAACATTTCTTTAATGAGCATACTTGGCAGCTTTAATTAGAACCAGTGCAGCAGTATCTGGAGTGCCATGTTCTTGATACAATGACCCGGCTCTTTGCATGAGTTCTGCTGCTTCATCCAACTTTTTCATTTCTTTCAGCATGGCACCTGCTTGCTCTAGAGCTCTAAACATGTGAAAAGTTAATCAAAGATCCAAGTCAATGCAAAATTGGGAAGATGATTTCATTGTATGTGATATACACTTACTTTCCAGAATGAAATAATCTGTGACACATCATGAATTAAGGAGATCATAACATGTATTACAAACTAATTAACAGTACATGATACACCTTTTGAAAATATATGATGCTAAGAAACAGAATGCTGTTATGATGCTGCAGCATATGGATGTATTGATAAATATCTTTTAATTATATTTACAAATATTGATATACAGAAGATATCGATTTACGTTTGGTATTTTCAGTATTGAAAATCAGTAATATTGGGTAGTTTTTCAATACAGCAACAGCCTATCAATAATAGGTGCTATTTTAACACTTTCTCTCATTTGAAGATAAAAAGATACGAATGATTTTTTGCATGTGCATCAGCAGCCTTTAGAAATGCATCTTTTGCTTGATTATAAGATTTGCCAACTTTAAATGCGGTACCTGGACAAAAAATAATAATATAAATGGTTCAACTTCAACCAAACCAACAGTGACCTTTTCTAATAAGGTTTGCAATTGGAAGTTTTTGCAAATATTATACTCACCAGCTTTCATAAATTTATCTGCAGCATTGTCATAGTCAGGTTTCCACTTCAACCAGCTCGTTTGAAGACTGTACAATGAGAAAGAAACAACATGGAAACCCGAAACCCATATTTAATACAAAAAGAATTTTAATTTTGCAAATAAAAATTTAAACCTTTATTTAAACATATTATATCAGTAAAGTTAACTGAAAAGAGACTAAAAGCTTTATAAGTGCAACGATATGAATAAATTTCCACAACAACTCACCATTTATCGGCTTCTTTCAAAAGTAAAAGCCCTTCTCGAATTTTTTTCTCACTCAATGAATTCGCCATTTTGGATTTAAAATTTCCCAATATTTGCTGAGTCAGCACATGTCATGTATTACCGATGATGAACTCTATGTAAAACTGGAATGATCTAGGTAAAATTTTATACGAGTCGACAACGCATGCGTCACGGCGAGGTTCAGATTGACTTCCACTATTATATTCTACCAGGCTTAAAAACGCATTTGATTGGTTAATTTAGCAAATTAAATGCATCTGATTGGTTAATGGTAGCAGTAGTCAAAATCTGAACCTATCTAATGTGGTTTTGATCTGTTCATAGTTAATATTAACTATGATCTGTTCAATGATGTTTGCCTTATCAGTACTTTCTAAAAACTGATTAATTATTAAAATCAAGGATAAAAAACTTAAGTAGTTATTATATCAGTTTTCTACAACTAAGGTCTTCTACGTCATCTACAAAAGTTGTCTGTGTTCAAACTTTGGAACTTGCTATGTACATTTATTTTCACATCTTCTTCAACTTGGCAAAGACGCTACTCTCGTTTCAAACACATTGCACACAAGAAGTTCATCCCAGAAGTTTTAAAAATCTCCAGCGCAATTTTCTCACATCTCTGATGAAACCACTCCTTACAGCTTCCACATTGCGCCATCAGGTCAGATTCGCTCTTCGGTTTCTCATAGGGCATACGACAACTGCAAAACAACTCGACTGTGTAAAACTTCCTCCTGGATAACACAATATCGCTACAGCCAGGCTTCATCTCAGGAAACGGACTCATCTTTTTTAACTTCAAACATTCAACGAGATGCGGGCGCATCTTAGGCACGTCAAAACGGAACTTGCTCGGATCATGACCAAACGCGAGCGCTGTGGCAAAAGCGATGGCGAATACACCACAATCAACATGGGAGGTTTGTTGTTGAACTGACTTCATGATTACTTTCATTTCAGCACTTTGAATACACATGAACGATGCAAGCTGTTGCTTGGTGAACTTGGCGATAAAACCTTGATTCATGCTGTCATACATGTTCACTGCAGCAGGGTCTTTGCCCCCAGTCAGGGAGATATTCGCAGTACAAACCCAGTGCAAGCTACCATCGTGTAGGATCTGAATGAAATCACCACTCACGGGCAGAAATGCTTGCACAGCACCACGAGCGACGGTTTGAAATCCTTTCAGATGTGGGAACATTTCATGGAGAATACTTTGAGCAAGATTGATGGAATCAACTGTCAACATTTCATGTCTCTGGACAAGTCTTGCTTCGTACTTGGGGAGGGTGGTGGGGGTCTTGACTTCAATAACTGTCACGTCATCGACCTTCTTCTGATCAATGACATACGTATCTCCACTGGTCGTACCCCCTTGGGACACCCCCTCCTTGTGTTCCTGGTTATCCTCCTTGGATTCCTGAGTACCCCCTGCACGTCCCTCTCCAGAAGAAAATTCAAAAGGTTCAGCAACAGCTTGACGATAATAATCAATATTCAAAATCTCCGTGTGATTCATCTCTTCCAAAACTTGTTCCTCGATTGTTTCATTCCCGTTGTAACTCATCGGAGGATTCTCGGAAGGCTTCGGGATCTTCCGTGGCGGTTCGTCACCATTCCCCTCTGTCTTCAAGCCACTGCTAGACGACCGCTTCGCCTTCTTGCCCAGTCCCTTGGGCTTCTCCTCCGTCTTGATGGGCTTCGTCTCCACCTCATCTGGTTCAACCACAATTTCATCGTCAACAAAGGACAACTTCATATCACCTAATACGTCATCAAGGGCGGTATTCAAGCGGTTTATGACGTCATCGTCGGACAAGCTATACGTCATGTTATTGATCTCATTCAACAGATCACGACATACGCTTGACTTGCTGCGCGAGTTGACCTTCGGGAAGGTTAACTCATGGAACTGGCTGGAGTCCAGGACACTGACAGTAGCTGCAAAAATAGATGAAGCGTTGTCAGGGAAAGGCATATTATCGGTTTAGATTCTCGCTGTATATCGATTACGGCTAGCATTTGTATATGGCAACCCCAACAGTAGATACAATACCTAGCTGATTTAGTAAATACGTTTTGATTGGCTTCATAAAGACCGATTTGCACTACACAACTTTCGCCTAAAACTGCCACCTGCTTACAGCTTGAGTTACAGTACAACTCAAGTGTTCATAGTCAACCAATCACAAAGCCAGTTCATACGACCCAACTTTAACCCATAACTATAACTCACAGTACCTTCGGTATTCTCCGTGACACCATCGGCTTTACTCGTAGTTCCTTCGTGTTCCTCCGGTGGCTTCGGGTTCACGATCTCGTCCAAGGTTAAGAAGGGAGAACAACGATAACTTTCTGGGAATTTTGACCAGCTCCAGTCCTTGATGTCCCGCATGACTGCTACAAAATGCTTGCATGGTAACATGGTGGTGCACCAGTCTACACAATCACAGTGAGGATATTTCTCATTATTACCAAACTGCACCTAAATGATGATATAGTAGTAAGGAGTTTGGATTTTATGCATTTCAAAAACAAAATATAGCATCTTGTGCACTCAAGATTAGAGTTGTAATCCTAAAGCCTGGTTCACATGTGCCTGCTGTGTGCCTGCACTGTCATTGTTTACAGCTGTTGATGCATACATTCTGAATTACTTGGTTGAACTGCTAACGACAATAGCCCGCCGACATACCGCAGCCGTGTATGTGAACCAGGTTTCATCCAATAAAAAACCCATAGGCTGGTGTAGCTGGGTTGGAAAGAGGCAGCTCAAATATGATGAAGTCAAGGGCTTACTGGGGCGCTTCTGGCTGCCACCTTACGATGGTGGAAGGGTTAGTTTTTGGTGAAAATCTAGAGGAAATCTTCGTGCAGTTCAAAACAGAACCAACCACAACTCTACTCACATGCGTTTTAAAGCACATCAAGTTAGAGCAGGGTCTCGACCTACAATATATCAGGCTTGATTCACCGGCAAGAGACGGCACATAATGTGCTTCCCAAGGATTGTATGATGTGAATATGTCTGCTCAAAAAAGGCTTAAAATTACTGCAGGCTTTATTAGTAGCAGATAGTGAATGAAATAAATTAGATATGTACCTTATACTCGATATCTGAGCGACGACAGTTGACGAGAAACTCGCCTTCCTTGTAACTATCCACAGTGATGTCGTCACATGCGATATCGTAGGATGACGTAATCCGTTCACTAATGTGGTCGATCACCCAACGTGGGCGGTTGTGAAACACGTCGGGAAGGTTAGTGTACTTGCTCGATGTTCCCGTCAGTATGTCCGCGTTCAGTTCATAGTAACTAAGAAATAGAGAAATGCGTTAAACAGATAAAAAGTTGTGTTATTGCTCCAGTCGTAACTGTAGTGATACTGGATCAATAAGGAAAGACCCTTACTGAACTTCTAGGGAAAACAGTTTATAAGTACAAAATAAAGTTTAGTTTAGGTACAAAATAACGTTTAGTTTAGGTTTCCTCCTGTAGTAACACTGGATCAATAAGGGATAATCCATACTGAACCTCTATGGAAAACAGCTTACAACTGATTGCTATTTGGTAGAAATAAAATTAGTTTAATTTAATTTAGGTTTCCTTCTGTAGTAACACTGAACAACTAAAGGATGACTGAACCTCCAGCAAGAGCAGTTTAGAACTGATAGAGTTATTCAGTATAATGTTAAGTTTTTCGTCACAAATGAACTGATCAACGCTTCTGTTGGCACGACTGTAAAAGACCAAAGATCAACAATAAGTGAGCATCGAGATAAGATTGACTGGGCAACTTACACATCACGACTTCTGGGCAAATAAACTTCTGTCAAGACCTTAATAATGTGAGCCAGGGTGAGGTCAGTATTCCCAACAAGTTGTTCATGAGAGAAATCCTTCTTCTCAGCTTCGAATGTGTTGTTTGTCGTGAGAACGCTCGTGTAGCTCTCTTCTTTGAAACACCAAACCCAGCGCTGAAATGAGAAATGACAGATCCTGTATAAAGATGAGGTTTTAGCAGATGGAATTTTCGAACCCTCTGGCAGGAATCGAACTAGTCTCCTACGCAGCCTGTTCGCGGGTCCGAGGTTTTGAACAGGCTGCGTAGGAGACTAGAATCGAACCTACGATTCTGGTGCAGTGCTCTGAAAACGGAGCTGCAAAGTCCTGCAGCCTGCACAGTAGCCAACCTCGTACCCAGGGTCTTTCCTCTTGGCGAGGGAAGAAAAGACCCTGGTAGACGCTGGTCACGTGATCTGCTAAAATCTAGCAGATTTTTAACTAGCAATCCAAGATGAGGTCAATAAATATTTGATATTTGGATATATTTTATAGTTTAATTTATAATTTGCTTTTTGTGTGATGTCGTAAAGGAATCCTAGATAGTTAATTAGAAATCTGCTAGATTTTAGCAGATCACGTGACCAGCGTCTACCAGGGTCTTTTCTCCACAAGTGGAAAGAGGTTGCACAGTAGCAATAATAAATAAATATATAAACAGAGTTCCCACCTCCTTTACCGCCAGCCAAGTATTCTCAAACCAAGTTCTGAACACTTTCCCATAGCTATCACTCCACATATCGCTTTTTTCCAAGTCATTCAAACGTTTCTCAAACTGTTCCAAGGACGTCGCCTTGGCCAGTCTGTTTAAATGATTGAGTAGGGCATCCTTGTACGGTATCATGTGGTTCGTTGACTGTGAAAGCCATTTCTCCCAAGCTTGTACTCGATGGAAGTCGTTTATGAAGACTTTAGAGTCTAGTAAAGAAATAACAACAACAACAACAACAACAATATTTACATACATATAAATAGTTACAGAAACTTTTAACAAGTTAGATACTTGAAAGTGTAGAGGTACTGGCTTCCCAAAATAACTAAAAAGCTAAAAAAGTTAGGAAGCCTGGAAACATAAATTAAGTTACATTACAGGTCGAAGATACAGTACTCATTATACACACAAAACTATACTATATTTACACATACACTGATACAAGTTCTACCACAGTTTTCATTATAATAAAAAATTGAAACGAGGAGCAGAATCTTATTACAAATGGAGAAAAAACAAAAAATTATCAATATGAAAGTGTATATAGTTCAGTTTTGATACCTTGTCGCAATGGCGAAGCTAACCATAGCGATTGGTCATGTTTTATATGCTAATTGTTCAATATTTGTATTATTCAAACCCATATAAATCAAACCCTTTAATGTTTTTTGGTGGAGGTTTATTAGCATAGCATGAGCAGTTGACATGGCGACGCCACTGCCTTAAGGTGGAGTAATACGGACAACAAAATTGCTGCAACTTACAACAAAATCTGATTTATGTTAAGTAGAAATGTCGACACATGTTGCCTTGTGATTTGTAATTTATGTGTATAAACATTTTCAATTAACATGCATTGAAATCAGATTTTGTTGCAAGTTGCAGCAATTTTGTTGCCCGTATTACTCCACCTTTATCATGAATGTATTTGTGGATTTCAATTCAAATAAAATTATTTTAGTTTCGTACCTGTAAAAACCTGTTCCAAAGCTAAAATCTCCTCACTATCGTTATCAACCATGAACACCTTGGGTTTCCACTCTGGGTTCCAGGTTTTTATAAACTCGAGCGCCTCCTTGGTGGACTCCATGTTTTCATCTTGCACGACAAATGTTGCAACAACTTGATAATCAACATTGGTTTTCACCATGAGAAAAAACAACGGCAGTGGATACTTGACTGTTCTATACACTGGATCAAGGAAACACACGTGGTCGCCGTAACGTTTTAGGAGGTGACGTTGGAACGAGGTCTGGTGCACGAAAATCATTTGCTGCTCTGCAAATTTCTGTCTGATCTTCAAATAATCCTCCAATTCTTCTTCAACGGAGATACCAGACAGGGCGTACAAACGCATCTCGTCAATGCCATCACAGCCTCTAAACAGCACGCTATCTTCGGGATTTTTATCTTGAAAACAAAAGAATGATGAGATTATGTAAAGTTGCAGACGAAATACCAAGGCACGGTTGTATAAAACTCTTAACTATTTTTTAACTAACCGTTTCGTAGTTAAAATGTGGTTAACTCTAAAATACGGGCTTCTGATTAACGTTTCCACTAACTATAGTTAATTTTAACTACCCTTCATGTGTGTGAATAAATCAATAGCAAAGAAAAAATTCTAGCACAAGCAGACGGCCGGAAAAAAATTCGGCAAGCTAAAAATCCCCCCCCCTCTTTCCCCATGACTTTTGACCAAGGAATATGTGAAGTACTATATCCAACACGAGTAAGTGACTAAGTGTTCTTCCTCTGATTTCTAAATACAGACAAGCTGGTTGAAAATACGAGGCGAACCCGAGATTTTTTAACCAGCTTGTCTGTATTTAGAAATCAGAGGGAGAACACTTACTCGTGTTGGATATAGCTTCTCAAACGAATCAATACCCTAAGAGAAGATCGAGTTTAAAGTTGACGAAAAATGGATGTAATCTTATTTCTAAATACAGAATTAATATGCATTTCTTTTGAATTTCCTTCATAAATTATTAATGAGTTTGAGAATCAGCTAGTGTGCATACCTTGTCTTTCCTTCAAAAGTTCGCTAACAACTTCATGATCGATCATATTTAACCGCCGTTTAATGTACGCGTTATACATCTTATTTCTTATTACACCCTTGGTAGGGTAATAACGTCGGTTAGTATGGCAAGGTTTCCATAACTCGGGACATAATTGAGTGTTAACAAACACTTCCAAACGATGTTGTACCTCCTTAATACCAATGAGGCCCTCGTCCACGAGCTCGCCAATCTTTTCTGAAACTTTGTTGTGCATTCGTTCTGAAGTCGAATCGCTCTCCTTGGTTCAAAAGAAATTATTCAATAATGACTCCTGCAGAACATATTAAGGGGCTGATTACATGGAGCTATTTCAGCCCGGGCTGACGATTATATGCATGTATATTCTCAATCTGATTCAGCCCGGGTACATTTATCGCAGGCTTCGCGGGAAATACGAAATTAATGGGTCGGCACGAAGCTCTATAGGAAGATGTTCTGTGATTGGTTGATTATGACAATGACAAAAGAATAAGTTATAGAATAGATTTTCTAAAGAACGAAGCAAGAACAATATTCTTTTTGTTTATGTAAGCCAATTACGTCTTTTGTCATTGTCATAATCAACCAGTCACAGACCATCTTCTTAGAGCTTCGTGTTTACTGAAATTAATGCGCGAAATGTGATAAAAACACTACAACACATGCGTGTAAGGAGCTTGAAACGTCGAAGTTCATTTTGTATTTTTCAGGTACTCACAATTTCGTTCCCAGAGTATGCCTGTTCGCGGGTTATGTAGGGTCATGCCACTACATAACCCGCGAACAGGCATACTCTGGGAACGAGATTGAGGTTTCAGGTACTCACTGCTACGTAAGTTGATCATGGGGAATATATTACATCATATACACACCTCTCCAACAGGATGCCCTAGATGGGATTCATTACTTGGTAGACTGAGATAAATTCGTCTGTCCAATTTATCCAGATCGACTTTTCCTTCTTTAAGATTCTGCTTCAATGTGTGCGACAGTTGTTTTCTCATGTACTGCGTGTTGGCAGCAATCTTTCAAAGATGGAAACAAGAAACTTTTATCATACAATGCTCGTGCTCTGTCCAGAAAACCCGTACAAATCAGGCCAGTAGAAAACAAAGCCGGTATAGAATGTACTCACCTTATATTCTGGGAACAAAATAACATCATTGAATACAACTTGAGCTGGACAGTTTAATTTCTTTCCTGGTGACAGCGTATTTCGTTTCCTCTTCTCATTTAACTAGAAACATTGTCAGTTTATTTTAATCAAAGTAGACATGTCAACTTGCACAAAAGTCAAAACACTAAATAACTTGTCTAAATGTTTTAAACATAATTAACGAGTATTTGTTAGAAATCACCCGTGATTCGCGTCTGAACTTACCAGAGAAAGAATAAAGGCCCGTTCAAATGAGACATGTTGGTCCAACATGCAAGATTTGTTGGATGGAACATTGTTGGCCTTGTTTCAACACTGTGTTGGGTAATATGTTAGCTGATGTTGGGTCAGGTTTCACTCTGTAAGACTGATTTACACTACACAACTTTTGCCTAAAAGTAAAACTGTCGCATGCTTGCAACCTGCTTACAAGTTTAGTTGTACTGTGTAAATCAAGCACACAACTCACCTACGACAACATAGATGAGTTGTGAGCTTGATAAACACAGTACAACTCAAGTTGTAAGCAGGTTAGTGATAGTGAACTTTATTTAAGCACGGAGGCCTGTCATCCAAATTGAGATGATCTTCCCTTCATGCGACAGTTTTAGGCAAAAGTTGTGTAGTGTAAATCTGTCTTTCAAATTTTCATTCAACATTCTGCAACGATGTCCGACCGTGTTCGATCAACGTTGGACATTGATCGTTGGACGTCGTTCAACCTGGCTTAAAAACACTTAACACCTTGGCTAAAAAAGTCGAACTGTTTAATATAATCCTTCCATGTAGTTCAGACACGAACCAAGACAGCTTTATAACACAACGAAAATTTCCGTACTTCGATACGTTTGAGTTCAGCTCGCTTCTTCATCGCAACACTGCGATCTTTTCCGTGATGACAGTCGAATATTTTCTTGCCCATGAGAATAAATGGAACACCTGGTTCAACTTTTTCTTTCACATTGAAATCTAACGAGATCTCATCCCAATACACCTTCTTGGGCTTATTGTCCAAGTCTAGCGAGGCAGAACAATAACAAACAATAAACAATAATAAACAACAACAAACCACCACAGTAGGAGCAACAACAACAGCAACAGCAATAACAACAACAACAACAACAGCAACAACAACAACAACAATAACAACAACAGCAACAACAGCAACAGCAACAACAGCAACAACAACAACAACAACAGCAGCAACAACAGCAGCAACAACAGCAACAGCAACAACAGCAGCAACAGCAACAACAGCAACAGCAGCAACAGCAACAACAACAACAGCAACAACAGCAACAGCAACAGCAGCAACAACAACAACAACAACAACAACAACAGCAACAACAGCAGC